AAATAACTGATGGAGTGTATATTTTTTTTATGAAATCTGAATGATAATGCATCCCTTATCAATTTTTACTAAAAACATTCCTATTTCCTTCTCTTACTAGCAATCTTCCAAACATATATATAGAGATAAAATCAGAATTATAATTGAATCATAATAAATATGCAATTTAGTAAATATATAACCTTAGGTTCTTTACCATCTTATCCAGACTGGGGTTACTTACTATCTTCATTTCCATTGTATTATCTTTATCATTTCTACTACCAGTATCACTGAGCGTTTATAGGAATTTTCGCTCTGCATGGGTATATAACACCTTCCTTGGAAATCATCGGTCATCCCCATACCCCTTATGGTAATGAGCGCCACATACTAAAACCATCTCAATACCCCGTTCGGTATGAACAAAATTAACTAACTCCCAACCCCGTTTAGTATAGGACTTTCCAGACCCGTACGGCTGAGGATAACATCCACTATAGAGTTCATCCTATGTACCAAGTCCGTATACTCTTTTCCATGATACTCAGTAGGCATTTGATTCATGTCACCATTTTATGCATATATATGTTTCACTGTTATTCAAGCAATCAACAATCATGAGATCATACATTAAATTAGAAAAGAGTGTGTAATTCATGTTTTGGTAACCAATAAAGATAAAATTGTAATTAAAGCCTTATTTGGATGATAGTTCTATAATGATGGTATGATTTTTTTACAATTTTTGTTTGTTTGTTTGCATTTCTAAACACATGGTATAGTTTTGTGGTGGTTGAGTCAAGGTTCTCAAAACTATGATTTTTCTCATTTTTTCAAACCACCGATTCGGTGCTTTTATGATGGTTTAATAATTTTTTTTCTTTATATCCTTAATATTTTTTATTATTTATAGCATTACCCTTCTTTTTAATTTCTTCTACCCGACACTTCTTCTTTATTATTCTTCTTCTCAAAATAGAGTTTGTGAAATTGCAGCACTACACTCAGGAGCTTCTATTTATTTTATATATTTAATTAAAATATTAAATACATGTACATAATATATTTAGATATGTTTATTTTATTATATATATGTATTTATGTTTTTACTTATATATTATACATGTATATAATATTTTAATTATATATTTAATTTTATATATATCTTTAATTATATATATATATATATTTAATTATATATGTTTATATATATCTATATTTAACACTATATATTTTTTAATCTTTTTTCTTTTTATTGTTCATTTATTACTATACACAATAAAACATGAGCAAAATAGAAAATTTGTTCAAATATACAACCATATCATCCTGTCAATTCAAACAAAAATAACTGTCACTATCAGACATTAATAGACTATCATCCAAACATGATTAAATTTGAACATTAATAAATCTTGCATATACACGACCGTTCTCGATATTAATAAACTTCATGCAAGTCATCCAACCAGGGCGTAAGAGTGGAACGGGGGGTGGCAAAATAGGATAGAAATTTTTTTACGTAAATAAATAGGCCAAATGAATAAAATAAGACGTATACGGAATAAAATAAAATATGAGGATGAAGCGGAAGGAAATAAACTAAGACAAAATAGCAGCAAAAAAAGAACGAAATAAACTAACGGAATAGAAATAAATAATAAATAAATAAATAGAAAGAAAATTAAGTAAAGAAAATAAACTCACAAGTAAAGATACGAATGAAAATAGAGAATGACAAGTAAAATAAAACTAATAATGGCAAAAAATCAAATCGATTCACTAGCTCCATCGACAACCCGTATCTAATCATTAATGAATCATAAAACTATTTAGAACTACTGCTTATTATCATTTTAACTTTAATTTACCGTCATAGAAAAAAGAGTGAGAGATTCTTATACTGGATCGATGTATAGGGCACCACCTTTTTCACCAGGGTTCTCGACGGTTCTTGGTTATTGGATTTCTTGATTTTTCCTAGTAAGATTGAAAATATATGTTAAAATAATGTGAAAATACACAAAGAATGGCGAAAAAGGTAGAAAATCTCACCGGTCTGGTTGGGGTTCCGGCGCAGTGGCACCGCCGGGCTCTGTTGCCTGCTCCTCATTCTCTAGCATTTCTCTCTCTCGGCTGAACCGATTTTGTCCAGTTCCTGGTGAAAATTTATTGAAATCGTGGTTAGAAGGGTGTTCTACAGAGGAAAGAGGGAAATTTCAGCCTTACCAAGTAGGTTCCAGTCTCTGGTACGGCGGTGCAACCATGCTCCATCACCTCTCTCTCGGGTTGTAGTCTTCCTTGATTTTTTTTGCATTAGAGTTAGTTTAAATGACATAGGGCAATAAAATAGGGAGAACAAGAAGAAAATCGTGCTCACTAATGCATTTTGGGTCTCCGGCACAGTGGCGCCGACGTCCTCCGATGGTTGAGCTTTTCCTCTGACCAGCCCTCTTCTTCTTATCCGGTTAGGGTGTTGGCTAGAGTTTGGGAGCTGACTGAAGGGAAGTTTAAATACCTCTTTTTGATCGATCTGAGTCGTTCAATTTGGGAAGACGCGGTGGCACGCGGGTTGTCCGATCGTGCCTATTTAGAAATTCCATCTAGGTCATTTGATTCGGAGAGCATGGAGGCACATGGGCCATTTGATCGAGCCTGTTTAGGAAATCGATTTGGACAGTTCGCGCGTGGGGGAGTGGTTCTGAGCCGTCTGATCGGCCTAACATGCGGATTGCCAGTGCAGGCTTCCCGCGTCGAGCTCGTGTCGATGTGACACATCCCGATTCGTCGTGCTATTGATGTGGTCGTTTTAGGTGGCCCGTTTCCTTTAATTTATAAAGTGACCCCGTTTTTCTTAGTTTTCTTTCAACCGTGCCCTCTTTTATTTTATAAATAAGCCATAATTTTTGAAAATTGTTTAAAAAATGTCTAAAATATATATATTCTCGTTAATAATTATTATTTTTTCATATTTTTAATAATAAATGAAAAATCAACTATTATTATTATTTAAGAAGATTTAAATTTTACTATAATAAGATTAACTATCCCAAACTCGGGATGTTATATCCCTTTTTGCCCTTCACATAAAAGTAGGTGCTCACAGTGGTCAGATATGAAAGAAGAATACAGCCAGCTCTGATATTATATTAGATTTTAATGAAAAAATTATAAAATAATAAATAGTTATTCAACAAATATTGATCGACTATTCAGGTTGCGAGTTGTATGAATGGTTTCTGTGCCATGCGTATAATGACATACCCTACTATTTTTCATACAAAAGTTCAGATTTTCAAATATTGCGGGTGAAATTGAACTAATGTTGTATTATTTTAAGAATTTGATTAGTTTGTTTTAAGTATAGAACAATGTTTAAGTGATGTTTTATTTTAATTTTCTCTAATCTGAATTTAAAAAATAATTTCAATTAAAAATAATAATAATGATGATAAAATATAAAATTTAATGCAAACATCTTCTAATCATTTTGTTTGGTAAATTTGATGTAATTTTTATTTTAATCAGTAAAAAACAAAAATTAAATATTATGCATAATTAAACAATAATAACATATATAAATAAAATAAAATAAAAATACTAGCCTTGCAATTTGGGAGAGGGCTCGCTATAAAGGCCAATTTTTGGTAGAGATGGCCGGTGCTGCGATCGCCAGTGTTGTTATTTCCGCAATAAAAGTTAGCTTCTTTTTAAGGTGGTGTTATTTCGACAATAAAGATTAGACTAGAATTTATAAAAAAAATTTAAGATTTTTTAAGTTATAATTTTAATATCATTTAAAAAATAAAATATGAACTTTATTGAATAACAAGAACTTGTATATACATATTTTATGAATAATAAAATGAAAGATTATTAATTGTACGAGACAGCGTTATGTTATTAGTATAGCCTTTGTACTGTAAAAATCCACTTCCCAACCCCAAGAAGTCTTGGTACACAAAGCAGCCTTTCGTTCCTTTCATTTTTTTTTTCTTTTCAAGACTTTATTTATTAAACTTCATTACACAGACAAATCAAATGATTAATAAAACACTCACCAACCAGCAGCCATGTTTTAGCAACCTATAATAATCTCATGGCCCCTTCGCCAGATAAGAAACCCAGAAATACAGGAAAATGGAAAGCAAAAGAAGTCTTAATTTTCTGTTATTTGCTTAAACCACGAGCTTCTGCATTCACTTTCAGCGATAACTGAGAACATCTTTTGTAAAATTTTATATAGCAGATTTGTGAAAATTCATATAGTACACTTGAAAATAAGCTTGTGAAGACCTTATCTCATTGTGGGAGAGTTGATTGAAGAATGTTCTGTAGCTCACAGAAATCCTCTAGCAAAACCTTCACCGTTAAAATGGTGTTTTAGGATGCCAACATTTAGAGAATCCATCAACTGCCTTGGAAATATTTACTCATTCTCAGATATTAGAAGTTGAATAGCATCCAAAGAGATACGAGACCAAGCTAGGATAAGGATTGTCTTTGCTTTGCATCTTCAGCAGGTGGGTCAATAAGTCAACAACATTTCTATTATTGTTGCTAACGACCTCCCAGGAATAAATATTGTTTAACCCGGCTATACATCCCTTTATCATACTTTAAATTTGCTTGGTTTATTTTTATTTTTACTTCTGAAAACATAACACTTATTTTAAAAATGTGCAAAAACTACTAAAAAATTATAGAAAGAAAATTGATGATAAGAAAAAAAAAAAAATTAAAATAAAAGAGAGGAAAAGAAGTAAGAGCTCAGAGACCAAGAGAATTTGCAAAGAAAAAACATAATGATTTCATTCAAAAATGAAGCAAGTAATTCTTCGGACATACAAGGTCTTTTTGTAGCAGAAAATACAGCCATTACGTTTCAGACTACTGCTAACTCATCCTAGTAAACTGGACGGCTGTCATACATACAGTAATCTGTATAAAATTAAAACAATTAGTAAACCATAAAAAAAAGCCAACATGTTTAAGAAGATTAGTTCCTGACACATGTATTGCACGAAAGGAAGGGTATCTCCAAGTTAAATTTAGGGCCTCATAGAGCATTTCACACGACGAATCAATTAAATAGGGAATAGTGTAACTTCAGGCCAAGCATCTAAAATGGGAAATCTAGCTCTAGTGCACAACCTCCATAAACTAAGAAAAACTACTGGCATGTGAACTTACATGGTTCCATAAGGTATGTGATTATCTAAATTTACATTTTTTGTAGGAAAATTTTTTTGACTAACCTTCTAATCGTTATTCTGCTATGAATAGTTAATCAGACAATAATATTATTTACTACCTTCATTTTGGTGCTGACCATCTTTCATTTATATGATATCGGACCAGATCTTGATACTGCAAATCTTGGCAGCGGACTGGGTCCTGTGCTGTTTGAAGTTGAGCCTTCCACAAACTTAGATTTGCGGCTTGAACTGTAATCTAAAGGCCCAGATCTCCGAAGATTCCGGTGTTTGCTATCACCGCTCCTTAGGCTTCCACTATCAGTATTGTAAAGGTGATCCTGACTATGAGATGATGTTCCCTTAAAGAAACCAGAGTCATTGGCACCATATTGAGGAGTTGAGTCACCACGGGCCTGCTTCATCACAGGAGACAAGTGCGCTAATGATACAGCAGGTGAATAGTGGGGTGATGCAGCCAGTAATGCCAGTGACATGGATGGAGAGTTTGAATAGTACTGGCTATAAATCGAACGAAGAATAGCATAAGGAATATAAGGTTCAAGAGAGGATCTTGGAAGATACTGTGAAATCTCAGAGACTTGATCTAGGAAAATAAGCTTAGCTACAAGATGAGATCTGCAGGTAACAGTAGAAGGTGATCAATAGATATGTACTAGATTTGGATTAACATGAACTACTAATAATTATAGACAATTAACTTGAGCAATAACATGTAGATATTAAAAATGCACCAAGACCATCCTTAAGTCTTAAAACACATATCATAAAAACCCAATACTTACATTCAAAACTAATCTGAATACTAACAAAAGATCTTTGTGCCAAGGAGATTGATATTTTTTTAAAAATGCAATCTCCAAAGTTAATTAACGGTAATAAAATACCATGAATATTTAATTTACCTGTTAGCTTCACCCCATGAATCTAGTACAATCCCTGTGGAGAATTTGATGAAGAGTTGCATAGCTGATTTTATGCTTGCCTCGGCAGATAAACGAGTCTGTATCTCAAGATCCAAATTTTCATCACCATGGCCATTTGACAGAGATTGCCGCTGCTGATGCTCCCGTTCCAAGCGGACATACTCACTTCCTGCAATCACAGCATCGATGCACCTGCAAACAAAATTAGATTGTTAAGGTGCCAATAAAGATTTGTTTCCTCAATAATGCAACATTTCACACAACAAAACTGATAAATCTAACAAAATTAAACTCAAAATTGAACAATCTAAAGAACCAAAATGCATAAAACATTCACAAGCATTCAAAGTATTTACACCAATTTACAGCTTATCAAGCTTCAATCCAGAAAGTTGGCTGCTCCTTATTTAATGCTCTAACATTCAGTCAATAGAAAAGATAATTGGAACAAATCCACTATTTATGGGAGCAATATCTCCTAGAATTTCATAGGCTAAAAGGTAAAAGATGCAAAAATGTGGGACATCTCCCTTGAATGGTGCACATATTAGGCACATGCACATATCAGCCAGATCCTTGCAATGAACAAACAGATTACAGGGACATTTTCCTTCAGCATGTACAACGAATAAAAAGCTCAAATTTGGATGAACTTCCCCCCTCTTGCACTAAAAGAAAGCAATTTCCAGAGAAAGCTAGCCAATGTGGCAAAAGACTTTCTCAAGGCACCTCTTGGAAACGGGTTCATGCCCATTTACCTCTCAATTGCTCTTCAGGTATGTCCTTCCAAATAATTTAAGATTAAAAATATACGTAGAGAAAGAGACAGTGAGGACAATAAAACCCAAAATCAAGCCCCCTCCTTGTCTGTTGAGTAAATTTACCTACCTCGCCAAACAGTGGATATTGTTGTTGAAGCCCCCAGTTTCAACATTGAAGCCAGTAGTGTTCCATATATTGGATGTCATGAAGGTGGCAAATAAATAAGGTAACAAGCTCCACGAACCATTGTTTGCACCACCCACCTCTTCCAAAATTGATCTCACCCATTCTGAATCATGATTGCCAGCCAGGACTACACTGTTAGCAACTCCCTTAATCCTCCTGATTTCATTTTTTTCAGGCATTTCTTCTGGTATATGTTTAACTACCCCGGCAAGTAGTGAATGTATCAAGGGCAAATGTTCTTCAAGCACTGCTCCAGTAGCTTCGGCTAAAAGATGATCAAAAGCCAATGCCTGCCCTGCCTCAACACAAAATCCTATTACTGTATCCAAATCCACAATCTGCTTCAAGCAAGCATCTCGTTCCATTCTGTCACCAGAGTGCATGCTGCCAACAACTGCCTCTAGCACCTCCCGGTTTGAGCGCAATGATGTGTCAATGCAATTTAAGAGAGCAGCAGTGTGTTCTTTCATCATTTTGTCCAGCCTGTCAGCTCCGTAGCCGCCAAAAATACGAACAAATGCCTGCAGTTCTCTGAGATCAGTGACTGACTCAGCAAAATACCCACCAACAGGCCTTGTGCTCTTGAAGCATTCATGCATTGGAGTAAATAGGATTCCAGCACCTGATACATCTTTGACAATGTTTTCAATGTACCAGTTGCACACAACTTCTGCTGCAGATCCACTAAGTTGCTCCGTTGATTTTTCAAACAAGTGCAAAGAAGAAACAGGTCCTGAGAAAGCCTCAGTTAGTAGAACTTCTCGAATACCCTGGGTTAAATCCATACTAATATGCTGCTCTGCCAGATGGACTACTCTCATGTGTCTGTGAATGAGTGACTCAAGGACAGAAGGTCGTTGAAGATCATTATCAGTTTTCAATACTGCAAGCAATCTTCTCCTGAAGTTCCCAAGGATACATTCTCTCATGTACTGCACATCATATGTGAAACACAAGTGAACAATACAGTAATTGGCATGCATCCTAGAAAGAAGAATGAGTAGATAAAGCAAAAGAAGAAATTTCAAGATATTCTAGATTCACAGTATTTGATAGATAAAAAGAATAAGCAGATGACATATAAAAGTCCTTTGAAAATGAAGATTTATAAATTTATAAGGAATGTATCTTCTAAAAGCAAAAATTTTAAAGGGCCGTGATAAGCTAGAAAGCAACATGTATGCTTTGATAATAAAAAGAAATCAGTATGACTCACCTCCCTCAGAACAAATACATGGTTTAGAACACATATAGGCTCCATATCATTCAAAAGTGAACATAAGTTGGTCAGTCTCTGCATTGCAGCTTCTAACCTGCAATTATGGAAAAGACCTATTAATCAAATCTGTTCTTGATTGTTCAAGGAAAGAAGTTATGCACACATCATGTATACAACTGAGTTAACTTACATTTTGATGGAATTGTTATTTTCAGGATAGCTTTCATGGCCAGGCAAAGGAAAACCACCAACCCCCTTGGGAGATTTCCCTGATGGGACTGGAACTCTTGATGCATTATTCAGATAAGAAGCTGCTTGCTCAGGAAGAAGCTGAAATGTCTCTAGTAATAAGTTTTACAGTTGCCTTCAAAAGTATGTATTGATGCTAACAGTAACTAAAAAATTAACCTGAGTCTCCAAGGCACCAAATCCACCATCAGAATCAAGAATATTGATTAATCCCTCCAATCCTCCCATGATGGATTCAATAAGAGATTCAACATATAGAACTGCATCTCGCCCAATCTTTGTTACCTGCTCACATGATACACAAGGTAAAAACTGTGAATTTGCACCATTGTTCTTTCCTCATTCTGATGGAAGGAAAAAATAAAGGCCAGTTTGAGGAGGATTTAAATTTAGATATTGTCAGAAATAATGGATAGAATTATATATTTTATCTAACAGGTCACCCAGATAAGCAATCTGTTAGGGTCACATGATTAGGATGTTGTCATCTGAAGTCTTGCAACACATCTGTGCCTTATTTAACAGACTTCCTTCCCTTTTTACCTATCTTGAAACTTTGGAATTTATGGCTCGTCAGAGAGAGCTCAGCAATCTCTAGAATAAAGGCATTCTAAACCTTTTTGAAATGATTTGGTTGATGCCTCTGTTTACCTATATATTTACCTATCCACCATAAGCAAAACTTTTTGTTTACAAATTCAGACAGGACAAGGAGAGCTTGAACAAGCTACTTAGAGAAAAAGCAGCAAAAAACCAAAAATAGAGATCTCATATCTTAATAATTAAACTAATATCTTATTATTTATATACTAATCATATAAACAATCTACCAAAAAATTAAGCAAGACAATATATTTAGGTACCATAACTTTTGTTTAAATAAAAAATTGAAATAGGATCTTTGAGGTCTAGTTCTTGGGTATCTTCTTGTAAGAATTAGGAAAAAGAATACCAAATATTTTCTTATATTTTATTGAAACAAAAGTAGAGATATATATACATATAGACAAATTCATATGTGGTAAACAACATAAATTACCCTAATAAATTTATTCCTAATTAAGCTTACATATTTAAAAATATAATCATACTATTATGTTAGACAAAATTATATAATATTCTAACACTCCACCTCAAACTGAAGCATAAATATTAATCATGTCCAGCTTATTCCGAAAATACTCAATTTGTGTTTCATTCATAGGTTTTGTGAATATATCACAAAGTTTTCCTATTTTCACATAGCCAATAGATACAAAGTTTTCCTAAATCTTTTCTCATATGAAATGCCAATTAACTTCGATATGTTTGGTTCTCTCATGATACACAGAATTTGAAGCAATATGGACAACTTGATTATCGCACCGAAGTTTTACAGGAGATGTGGGATTCAAACCCACTTTTTCTAAAAGATGATGTATCCATAAGACTTGACATGTGAACTGGGCCATAACTCTATATTCAAACTCTGTACTTGAGTGAAATACAACTGTTTACTTCTTACTTTTTCATTATACGAGATTTCCATCAACAAAAATACAATAACCAGTAGCAGACCTCTTATCAATCTTTAATCCAGCCCAATCAGCATCTATAAAACATTCAATGTGAGTATATCCGTGATTTCTAAACATTATGCTGAGTCCCGAAACATCTTTAAAGTAGCACAGAATCTGTTCCAGAACCTCCCAATGTTTAACTGTAGGTGCAGACATAAATTGACTTGCAATACTGACATGATATGCAATATTTGTATGAGTCACAGTGAGGTAATTCAATTTCCCAACAAGTCACTTGCATTTTTCTGGATCATAAAGGGGATCATCATCATCTTTTGTAAGATGTACATTTTGTACCATAGGAATATTGCATGGCTTAGCTCCTACTTTTCCTGTTTCTGCAAGTAGATCAAGTACATACTTCCTCTGAGATAACAAAATTCCTTCCTTACTTCTTGTTACTTTAACCTCCAATAAATAGTTTAGTTGTCCTAAGTCTTTGATATTGAAATTGGTATGCAGAAATAACTTGAGAGAGAATCTTCCTGCATGGTCATCTCCTGTAATCACAATATCATCAACATAAACAACAAGAAGTATAATACCAATTGTTGATTGTATATAGAAAACTGAATGATCACACTTATTCTTTCTTAATCCGAATTCACATACTATCTCACTAAACTTGTAAAATCACGCACGGGAATTCTGCTTCAAACCATATAAGGATTTTTTCAAATGATAAACTTTCCCGTACTCCCCCTGAGCAACAAACCCAGGTAGTTGCTCCATATATACTTTTAAGAGATCACCATGATGAAATGCATTTTTAATGTCTAGTTGGTGCAAGGGCTAGTCTCTGGAGGCTGCAATAGATATGAATGAACAGACAAATGTACGTTTTGTCACTGGAGATAATGTATCAGAATAATCCACCCTATAAGTCTGAGCATAACCTTTTGCTACCAATCGAACTTTAAGTCTCGCCACAGAGCCATCTGGATTCACTTTAACTGCAAATACCCATTTGTACCCAACAACATTTTTTTCTTTGGGAGAATTTACCAGATCCCAAGTATGATTATCATCAATAGCATTTATCTCTTCAAGCATGACATTACGCCAATCAGGGTGATTCAGAGCATCCTTAACTGTCTTGGATATGGAAGTGGAATCTATAAAAACAATTAAAGAGCTAAACGAAGGAGACAAATGATCATATGAAATGAAATTAGCAATAAGATAAGTAGAATGAGGAATGGTGCATTGATGTGTACTTTTACAAAAACTGATGGTAAGATCAACATCATGGGTGGAAGAATTAGATGATGAAGCTGGTACAAGACATGTATCATTAGTCTATTGTCTTTTGGAATAAACATGAATAATGGGCGGTTGTTCTTGAGTTGGAGGCATACCATCATCAGTTTGTTCAGAAGACACATCAGAAAAAATACCATTATCTGGTTGCTCTGTAGAGGTACTATTCTGGAATTTATAAATGAATCACTCATCGTCCTTACCTAATTTGTAAAATTAGATTGTGAGGAGAAAAACGGTACACTCTCTAAAAAGACTACATCTGTTGACACTAGATATTTGTTGAGATCTTAAGAGTAACACGATATCCCTTTTGCAGGCAAGAATATCCAAAAAGACACTTCAAGACTTTGGGATCCAATTTAGTAATCTTTGGTCGAATATCTCGAACATAACACGTACTACCAAATATCCGCAGCTGTACCGAAAACAATGTCTTGTTTGGAAAAAGAATACTATAAGGAATATCACATTCGAGTACTGCAGACGGTAGACAATTAATCAGGAAATAGGCAGTGGATACAACATCAGCCTAGAATTGCTTAGGAACTTCTGTTTGAAACAAGAGGGCTCGAGTAGTCTTAGGTAAATATCTGTTCTTTCTCCCAGTAACCCCATTTTGAGATGGTGTATCAACACAAGAGAACTGATGAAGAATCCTATGTTGAGTTATATAATTTTGAAATGAGTTTAACATATATTCTTGAACATTATCACTTCTTAGCACATGCACAAAAATATTTAATTAAGTTTTGATTTCCGCATGAAAAATACACAAATGAACAAATATTTCAGAATAATTTTTCATAAAGTATATTCAGGTCATTCGAGAAAAATATCAAAAACAGTGACAAAATACTTAAACCCTATTTTAGACATAATAGGACATGGACCCCAAATATTAGAGTAAACTAATTCAAAAGTAGACTCAGTTCGTTTATTAATTCTTAGACTTGACGAGCTACGATGATGTTTTGTAAACTGACATGACTCACAATCTAATGAAAATATATCATGAAACTAAGGTCACAACTTCTTTAACACCGTGAGAGATGAATGCCCCAACTGACAATGTACTTCAAATGGAGAGATAATACTACAGCAGACAACTAATCGAGGCGCCCAATTATCAAGAATATAGAGACCTTCTGATACATGTCCTTTACCAATAATCTACTTCGTCATAAGATCCTGAAAAAGACAATGATCAGGAAAGAATGACATACAACAATTAAAATCTTTGATAATTCTACTTACAGAAATCAAATTGAAAGCAAGTTTGAGTATACTCAAAACAGAGGTCAGAGTAATGGCGGGAGTTGGGTTTATAGTCCCAGAATCCTCAATACTATAGGTTGACCCATCAGCAATAATTACAGAAGATGATGCTCTGTGTGATCGAAAGCTAGAGAAGATCTTAGAGTTACCTGTCATTGGATCTGTAATACTAGAATCAATTACCCATTGGTTTGATAAGGAGATAAGATATCTTTTACCTGATTCAGCAGACATAGTGGCGGGTGTGGGTCTTTCAAAAATTCTTAAAACAGAGAGAACCTTGCATACTTTTCGGCTAAAACCATAATAGTTTTCTCAGAAGAGGAGCTAGTAGTAGCAGCAGTAGCAATATTTGCAGTTTGTGTTCTCTAATTTTGATTCTATAATTTCTTGCAAAAGTATATCCTTGCTCATAACAGTAATAACAAACAATATTACTTGAATCATTATACCGACTATCCATTGCTTTGTTTCCTCCCATGTTATTATTTCTTCTTCCTCTTTTAATAAAAACATTAGTATGCTGATTAGGTGTAACAGTCTGTGCGCAATACTCTATTGAAAACTTCCTGAAAAGATGTGATCTCGGAACTAGATACGATTTGACATTTAGCAACCTCAAATTTATACGGAAGACCAGCCAAGAAACTCATTATGGCCATCTGCTCTCTGTGTATTTGTTGTACCTCGATATTAGCATTGAAAGGCAAAAGTACATTAAACTCATATGTCTTTTAAATTCCATAAAGTAGATCATGAGAGATTTGCCTGTTCTTAGCACGACAGAAAGCTTTACAAACGTCATACATGCGGGACATATTTCCTTTGCCTGGATACAGAAATTCTAAATAATTCATCAGTTCTTTAACAAACTCACAGCGATTAATTAAACCTATTACCTCACTGTCAATCGAATTTCTGATCCGCAGAAACAACTGTGCATCATCTCTTAGCCAGATTTGTCTACTTCCATCAGTGGGAAGGTTTTGAGTCAAGTGATCATCCTTATTAATACTGTGTAGATAAACTCTAATAGTTTTGCTCCACTTCAGATAATTTGTGCCATTTAATTTATACTCAGTGATCTTTGACATGATCGGGACTATCTCACTTACTAAAAACTTGTTATCACTCATTCATAACCCGAGAATATTCACAAATTTTTACCCAAAAATAACTGAATACAAT